TCTCTCGCTGTGTCTCTGTCAAATAAATAAATAAAATCTTTAAAAAAAAAAAAAAGAGGGCGCCTGGGTGGCTCAGATGGTTGGGCATCTGCCTTCGGCTCAGGTCATGATCCCGGGGTCCTGGGATTGAGTCCCGCATCGGGCTCTCTGCTCCTTGGGAGCCTGCTTCTCCCTCTGCCTCTCTCTCTCTGTCTCTCATGAATAAATAAATAAAAATCTTTAAAAAAATAAAAAATAAAGAATTTCCTCCAGAAACAGTTTGAGCCAAACCAGAAAAATAGGCTTATTGTTATATACATCTTCATGTCATATATATCATACTTCAAGTCACATTTCATACCATATATACAAATATACATATATATATATACAAGCATACATACATACATTCATACATATACACAAACACACACATACAGTCATACTTCTTAACTCCCAAAAGCTAAGGAAACTATGTGTAATATTGTTAAATTGTTGCAGGGTTTTAAGAGCTTCCTTTTATGACTCTGAACTTCCAATATATACAGTAAGATCACTTATGTAAGAAAATAAGCAAAAATATGTAGGAAAAAAGCTAAGTCATCTGACTGTTCATCAAAAACTGAAGATAGGGGCCCCTGGATGGCTCAGTTGGTTAAGCATCTGACTCTTGGTTTCCACTCAGGTCATGATCTCAGGGTCGTGGGATCGAGCCCCATGTTGGGCTCTGTGCTCAGCACGGAGTCTGCATGTCCCTCTCCCTCTGCTCCTCCTCCCTTCCCCTTGCTTGTGCTCGTTCTCTCTCTCAAGTAAATAAATAAATAAAATCTATAAAAAAAAAACCCTGAAGATATATTCTTGAGGCAAAGAGTGAGCCAACTCGGAAAACCCACAGATGGAAGGAAGTCTTTTTTTTTTTTTTTTTAGATTTTTTATTTATTTATTTGACAGAGAGAGAGAGAGAGACAGAGAGAGAGAGCATAAGCAGGTGGAGCGGCAGGCAGAGAGAGAGGGAGAAGCAAGCTCCAGGAGAAGCAGGCTCCCTGAGAAACAGGGAGCCTGATGCGGGGCTCGATCCCAGGACCCCGGGATCATGACCTGAGCCGAAGGCAGTCGCTTAACCAACTGAGCCACCCAGGTGCCCCAGGAATTCTTGGACAGTAGGGGATTTGTTTTTTTTTTAGTGAGTAGATAACAAATATATCCTAGAAGATTGACAACAAATTCCTCACAGAAAAAGAATCAGCTTTTAGGAATAGTGGGAAGCTTGGTGGGAAGGGTCCAAATTTCAGAACCAAGCGTAGGAGTCAATGTCTGGTTCTCTAACTAGCTCTGCAGGCTTGGACAAATTCTCTGAGCCTTACTCTCCTCATCTATAAAATGAACATATAAATGCCAGGAGTCTGGTGAGGTTCTGTTAATGGAGCCCTGACTTCCACCCCCTCTCCCCATTTTCTGTCACCTAAACTCCTTTACTTCAGGTTAAAGAACCAGAAACGCTGAGGGAAGCAGTAAAAGGGCAACCCTCCTTCCTGGAGCTTTCAGGCTTACATGGCTTCAGCATTCAGGCTCTGCTATACCCCGCACAGAGAAAAAAATTACTGGCCACCTTTATCATCAGCCTTGTCAAAAAAGAACTGTGGCAAGTAGGCAGTGCCTTCGGTTCAAAAGACATTCCCAGAGCACCCTGTCATTAGGGGACAGAAGCAGCCCATTTAAATCCCTGAATCTTTTCAACAAACTGAAATCCCCTCAATGTCCGAGAGTAGCAGATGAGTTGAAGAGTGAGACATAATACTTGAAGGCAGGTGGAATTACATCTTGAAAAAGAGTATTAAATGACAGGGGGACATGTTCATGATAAATGAAGTAAATGTTGCTGTAAAATAGTATATACATTATAGATTCCTGGTTTTTTTTTTAAATAATTGATTTATAGGGAAAAACAGAAGGAAATAAAAATTGTCAATGATAAATTCTGAGTGGTAAGGTTATGGGGGCTTTAAATTTTTTTTCTAAGCCTTATACGATAAATGTAATATTTTTTTAATATAGAGTTATAATATGTAAATATGATACAGCTTTTAAACAACTCCACCAGGCAGAAATTGTGACTTTTTGTTCATCACCACAGAAAAACAAGCATTTTAAAGAAATGTGGCCTTTTTCTCAGCGTGAGGTAAAGAATTTGTATAGGGGCAAAGTGCCTCTTGATTTTCTATAAGTTTCCTCCCTTTCTCCCTTGTCCCACCTTTCAAAGAGTTTTGGGTCCCCACCCACCCTTAACTGAGTGTGGAAAAAAAGAAAAAAATCTTTTCCTGCCTGAAGATGCTCAATGTTGAGACTTAGAATAGGGAAATTGCACATTGTTCAGATTTCCCAGTACTGGTGGCTCCTGGCCGAGCTGGTGCATCTGTACCTTCTCCACCTTTGGCTCCTGACGGTCGACTCCTGTATCCTCTGCAGGAGTTCAAGTCTCTGCTTGAGAGCAGGAAAGGAGGGGAAAGCACAAGGCCCAAACTTTCTTGAGTTCTTAAAGTAAGAGTACTTCTAAGTAGCTAGGACACTTTACATTTATCATTACTGTGATTGTTAAGAGTAACTACCATTTATTGAACCCTTTTCATAGACACTGTATTATTGCATTGAATTTTCACATTAGTCACTTAGGGCTTCTCCCCATTTCATGGATAAAGACGTAGGCTGTGGTCAAGTGGCATGCCTAAGTTCCCAGTGCTAGAAAATGGCAGACGTCAGGCGCTTCACAGATTGCAAAATTATTTATTGCCTGTTATTCTTCACACTACTCTGTGAGATGAAGATTCTACGTTTTCACTTGTGAAATGAAGGGACGGATGCCTTTAAAGTCCGTTCTGTGGGTCTACATGACTGATCCTTGAGAACATTTCCAACTTTTGGTTTCACTGGAGGAGACCTGTACTTAATAGGGCAATGATGGGAGCCAAACATAAGCCTACTAGCCTATTCAAATTTTAATCTGAATCTGAAGAAGGTAGGGTGGGGTGGGACACTAGATACTAGCAGTGAACAACCAGATTATGATGTGACCTCATACCGTGAAGACAAGGAGACAGTTGTACATTGGCTATAGGGCCACAGAATTCTGGAATTTGCTGGTGGGAGGGTGTGGGGCAGGAAACCAATAGCTCTACCAGGGTAGAAAAAGGCAGAATAGCCTAGGTCGGTGGATGCTTTGATGCTTGGTGGATGGGCTCAACCCTACCTCAAAGGTAGGGGCTCTGTACAAATAGCTGTGAAGTTATTTGGGCCAAGTATGTATGCGATTATAAAAGTATTTTATTCAGGTCCTGAATAAGACAATCTGCTACCAATCTTTAAAGTACCACATGTGTTAACATTGACTTTTCAATACACGTAACAGAAAAACAAAGAGACAACACAGCTATAATAATTTATGCATTTTCATTTCTTGCTTGGATGAAAGTGGGACTACACCAAAAGTTGCTGGAAGTAAAGTAGTGAACTGAGACACTGGGTTATTTTCGTATCTATACTGCTTGCTGTATCAGAATTAAATTTCTCCTAATTGGCCTTAATGGAAGCTAATTTTAACATCAGTAATCTTGATTTAAAAAAAAAAAAACTATTGTTTTTTTGGAAGGTGGGACGAGGCAGCGAAAGAGGAAACATTTTCTCAGAATTGTGAATTGGCAACCTTGGATCCTCACAGCTCTGCCCTCAACGAGCTATGTAACTGTGAATAAATCTCTTAAATTTCAAATTGCTCACCTGTACAATGAGATTCTAAAAGGCAGGTGATGTTTGATATTGTTAATGTTCTATGTGACAAGCTAGCATTCCATGGGTATCCACAACAGTAAAACCAAATCCAATGAGCAGGTGCCCTTAAGTCCTACGTAAGTATCCCTAAATGTCAAGGGCTCTAAGACTGACACATGTAAATGGTTGTCTTTATCCTCCAGAGTAGGGATGGTGGGCACTGAGTAGGGACCTTTGATGTTACACTACAGTAGGAAAGTTTTTCCCCTCACTTTGTCCCCATGTGATATGGAGAAGAGGAAAAACAAGTGAGTAAGAGTACAGGATTTGGAAGCTGCATTCCTGGGAGTCGAGACTTGAAGCTGCTTCCTCCAGTTGCTCTGACCTGACTCTAGTCGATCTTGTGCAAGTTAAAAATTCCAAGTATCACAAGGTGGGACCGATCACCTGCTGGGACCTGTCAAGCCTTGGATCTGTGTTCTTCCAGAAGTGAAGGTATGTTTTTTAAGATCCCAGGAGGAACTGTTACACTCTAAGACAGATAAATAGGATGTAGAACTAACTACAAACACTTAAGCATTAATGAAGTCAATACATAGTATGCCACAGAGTTTAAAACGTGGAAAGATTATCTTTTCAAAATTATAATTTATGTTTATCCTTGGCGGTCACAAACCTACTGAACTTGTTATGGGGATGAAATAGGAAAAACTCAAAAGAAGACACTAAACACTAGGTAGAACGGCTTCTAGAAATCAAGAAGGGCGATTTCCCATGTGGTCAGACAAACATATCATTCCTTATCGTTCTCACCCACCCAAGAGTTCTGACACTTGGCGTCAAAGTTTTGTGGAGTAGTTCAAGCCTACTTCGATGCTTAAAGGACCTCGTCCCAGGCTTTGGGTATTTTCATGGATTTCTTTTGTTCAGTAATTGTGGCCTCCCAAGTTTTTATAATTCTCCTCCTCATTCCATTCCATCCTCCTTTCAAACTTGTTTGTGAGCTTTTAGTGCAATCCGCTTATCACTTTTCTTCCCCAACCAAAATAGTGTCAGGGAATTGCCTAAGGGGAGTCCCTATAGAAGTACTAAGAGAAAGGCGGGGATAAGTTACTGCCTATAAAACTGGCACTTTAAAAAGCTTTCGCTTTCATGACGATTTAAGACTGACACCATAAGGAAAGCAGGAGCTTTCATCCGCGCGAACTCCCACCTTCATCCCCAGGTTGAACTTTCCCATGAATAAAAGAAGGTATCACCTCATCACTTCCTGGATTCCGCGGACACTTCTCTATACTGACAGGTACTTCCTTTGCGACCCGAAACGCTTTCTAGCACTTCAACGACTTAAACTCTCCCCACGCCTGAGGTTGCTCTATCGCCTGGGCGACGCTCCCGGCTTTGTTTTTTTTTTCTACTTCCTCAAGCCCAAGCCCGCCCACCAGCGTCGACGTCAGCTCTTTACTGGTCCTAGAGTGTGTTCGTCTCCTCAGAGAGCCAATCAGAGCCTCGCCGTCCACCCCAGGGATTTGGGAAACGGAAAAGACCCCGACCTGTTCCCGGGAGTGGGGCGGGGCCTTACGTGAGTGACAGATCGGCCCTCCAATAGGCAGAGCGCTAGGACCTCCCCCTTCGGGCTCCAGAGCTAGAAAAGAGCGTCGATGCCGGCGGCAGTGATGAGTTGTAGGAGGAGCTGGGTGCTTGGCGTTGCTGAGGAGCGGCTGCTGCTACTGCTGCTGCTGGTGGCCTCTTTACAGGTGAGTGGTTTTGTTTTAGAATTTTGCTCTTGCGAACCTTTCTGTTTTTAAGTGATGTGGTGTTTTAATTTGGAGTGCAGGAAGGCCAGTTCTTGACTCCCCCGATTCCGTCTTTGGAGGGAATCTGGTGCCCGCTCGCCTGCCCCTCGAGCTCCCACCCTCACTTACTCCCCAGGTCCCTCTCAGGTCCCTTTCTCAGAATAAGCCTTCCTGGGACGCACGGATCTGTCAGCTGAAAGGAGGACTCCGCCTTGGTCGTGGTGCCTTGACGGCAAGAGTAAACAGGAGTTGGAGGGAGTGATGAACTCAACTCTCCTGGACGTATGAGGCGCAGTGTGGCAGAGGAGAGGTCCTGGAAGCAAGCTAGGGGTGTTTTGAGGGCCACGCCACTCTGTTTAGGGCGATGGCAGACCTGGCCCTAAACGTCTAAGTAGATAGAAAAAACCCTGCATGCCAGGGAAGGAGAAAGAGGTGAATATCTGCAATGGTTTCACGTAGCTCTCACATCGAGCTAAATCACAGGTTCTTAGAACCACTAAAAATTAAAAAAAATAATAGTAAGTGTATTTCTCCTCTGTTCAAAGGGATGGGGGCTGCATTACTAGAGAAGGACAGGAGAAATGCATAATGGAAGTAAAGTTCACAGTTTCTTTGAAAAAGTAAAGTTAAAGGATAATTAGTTGTTTGCTAACTTATTATACTCCTCTTCCCCTACCACCTCCCTTCCAAATTATGGAGGCTTTACAGCTTGTGAGTGGTACCAGAATGCGAACTGACTGAATGCAGACTTTTGGGGAAAAAAAATCAAATAGCATCTTTCACCAGGAGGTACTACAGTTTTCTGTGATGAAAGCAGAACACATGTCAGCTTGTACTTTGCTTTAAAACTCTCTCCCCTGAGGCCAGGGACTGGGTTTTATCCATCTTTGTTTTCCTGGAGCACCTCACACACCATAGATGCCCCTCATATGGTAGTGGGCCTTCTTTTATTTTGAGTTTTTATTTTTAATTCTAGTTAGTTAACATGCAGTGTTATGTTCGTTTCAGGGGTACGATGTAGTGATTCAACACTTGCATGTATCACCCGGTGCTCATCACAAGTGCACTCCTTAATCCCCAGGTGGTGGACTTTAGAGAAGTGTAATTCAAGCAAATGGTGTAGTGGAAGGAGCTCTGAGTTGGAAGTCAGAACCCCTAGGTTTTAGTGTTGAAGCTGATGCTATTTGTGTAATCTTAAACAAATCATTTCAACCCTCTGGCTTAATTTTTGCATCTTTAAAAAAGCGGACGTTGTCGCAGATTATTTCGGAGGGTCATGCCTGTGTTAAAAGTCTGTTTTATTTTATTTTTTTTAAGATTTTATTTGTTTATTTGACAGAGAGAGCAAGAGAGCACAAGCTGGGGGAACAGTAGAGGGTGAGGGAGAAGCAGGCTCCCCGCCAAGCAGGGAGCCCAATGCGGGGCTCGATCCCAGGACCCTGGGATCATGACCCGAGCCGAAGGCAGACGCTTAACCATCTGAGCCACCCAGGCACCCCTAAAAGTCTGTTTTAAAATAAAGATGATTAGACATTTTCCACCACAAGTACATAAGCAAAAATGTCATAGTGGTAAATTCTGGGCCAATCTGTTAGCAAATAAAAGTTCCCATCAACAAAGGATAGTACTTGTTCTTTTGTGCCCCTCTTTAAACCAAACCCAATGGATCATTGTAGAAAATTTGGTCATTGTACAGAATAACCATTGTACAGAGTATAATGTGGCAAAAAATGTCATCCTTTATTCCATCACTCAGAGGTAACCACTGTTAGTGTTTGGGCAGATCTTCCAGTCTCTCTTCCTCTTTTGCCTTCTACGGTTGGTTGAGATTAAGTGGCATATTTCATTTTAATAATGACTGGTACATCTAAATTCAGCTGTGCCTTCATTTTTGTGGGTCTGGTGCTCAGAGGACACAAGTATTTGAACCAACAGGTCTCTTGAACATCCTTGGAATGAAATCTGGTGTGAGAGAATGTTTACATAGAGAAATAAGACCGAAAGTATTACTCTTTCATGGAAATTTGGCCACAAAAACTGAAAAATGTACTTTATAAAATGTAGAGAAAATGTTAGCCACTTGATTAAAGCATTTGGATTGTAGAATACTGCTTAATATTTGGTATGCTTTTAGAGCTTTGTCTTACCATCAACTCCCCACACCCCCAACACACACAACATTCGACTGCATTTCTCCTTCCACTACCTAATTTAACCTTTTCTCTTCATCCCCATCCTCATTTTACTTTGTTCCCAGCTTTTACTTCCACACATACCTCAGCAAGGTAGGATCACTTTCAGGGGCCTGAGGTCTGGGCGAGTTTTCATTAGTCTGATCCGTTCAACCCAGAACACCTCTCACTCTTTGGCAGAGTGCTTCACCATAATCTCATTTAGTCTCCGTAATAGCCCCTTGAGAACAGCAATTATCCCTGTCTTTATGGATAAGGAACCTGAGGTCCAGAAAGTTTGAATCACTCGGTCCATATCACACCATCAGTAAGTAGCAGAGCTGGGACTAATGTCGGGGTTTCTTGACTCCAGACTTCTGGGATTTGGTGGCAATAGTTTGTGTTGACAAAAGCTATTATCCTGGGGGAATAAGTAACCAAAGTTAGGAAGGAGGTGTCAGGAGTGGGTGTTGCGCTCATCAGTGATGCTGCACAGGCTGGAACAAGCAACATGCCCTGGGCAAACACTCATCTCATGACCCAGGTAGATCTCTTCCCTGTGAATAGGGGTCTACCTGCTATGGTTTGCTACCTGTGTAACAAGTGATCGGTAGAGGCTGCTGGTAGCGGTAAAGTTGGAGAATGACCGGGGTTACAGTGCCTGGAAAACACCAGGAAGTGATAGCATTGGCTCCTGGTAAAGAGGTGCTCTTAGGGCGCAAGTGGAAAAGTTACCATAAAGCTTTAGGAAGTAATAGATGGTGGAATGCAAGGTACTTTTAGGTACGGTCATGTTTGAACTTTTAATATCGAGCTTGATTTTGAGGAAAGCATATTTTGTTAAGATTTAAGGAACTGTGCTCTGGATTTCATTTCCCTTAAGAACCGTTCCTTTTTTAATTTATCTGAAACATGATTAACCTCTCTTTTTTTCTATCCTCGAATATGCCAGCCTATCTTTTACAGAATTAGATTCCTCTAGAGGTAGATTAAGAGTTGTTCAAAGCCATGCAATGGGGATTTGGACTAGGGAAAACATCCGAGTGGTGAAGGGTAGCATTTGACTATCTAATATTTAAGGGGAAGCTTTTGATCACAGCAACTCTGGCTCTGTATCTCTTATTTTATGTTACTTCAACATTATATCATTGATCACACTTCTTACTCAGTTTTTAGAAGCAGAAAACTAAGTTTTTATTTTTAGACTGGCCCTTATCCTATAATTTTCCTCACCCGTTCATGAGTTGTTAATACTAGAGCATTAGATATTACATTTCAGACACCCGAGGAAGGGAAGCAGCAATGTCTCAGGAGCATTAGTTTGGAAGACAGGACGAGCCTCAGTTATGGTGGGGGGCGGGCAAGGTATGTGAAAGTATATGGTTTAATGAGGGGCAGGAGTGGGAGGCAGCAGCAAGATCGTCTAGTGCTACATTTGTTGAAACTACCTAGAGGTCCTGGAAATATTGTAGAAGTAACCTCAGTAAATGCAATGCTGTGTATTTGCACCAGTCCCCTACCTACCTACTGCCTCCAGCCCTGCCTTGCCAAAAGGATGTGCTAATTCTAAAAAAAACATAACTTCAGTTTTATGGTGGCATTTATGGAAAGAATAACTTTTGCTCTGTAGGCAATTGAGATGGAATTTCTATACATAGACATAGCGAGAAGTCTTTGAAAATATGTCACCTGCATAGTGTGTTTCCTTGGAATCACTTGTCTCTTTACTGCTAAGCCAGTTGTTCAACTTGTATGCCCGAGCAAGTCTACATTCTCCTGAAGTGTGAGGCACGGTGACAATTTATGAAGATGGTGTCTGAGAGAAGTAAAGCATGTCAGAATGACATATTTTTGAAGTTGGTTAACAGCATGAATACTTTTTCTCTGTAATTTTACCTTGAACCCATTATTAAATCAATTAAGCAGAAGTAAACAGACTGATTTGAATACGTTCAGTATTGTCTTCTGCGAGGAAGAAAAACAATTATGAATGGGATTCCATTACTCAAGGTACTTGCAGTTCTGGCCAAGAATAAAATCAGGTGATTTAATAATTCTGAGATTATCCCACGACAGGATGCTTAAAGGTTCAAAATGCTGATGTGATTAGTAGATCTGAGTATGGTATCCAGCTAGGCCATGGTTTGGCAAAATAAGGCCTGCTGGTCTACTACCTCTTTTTGTACAGCCTACAAGCTATGATTGGTTTTTATGTTTTGTTTTTTTGTTTTTTGTTTTTACTGGTTGAAATACATCAAAGAATGACAGTACTTCATGGACATGAAAATTATATGAAATTCTAATTTCAAGGTCCATACATAAAGTTTCGTTGAAATAAAGCTTCATTTATTCATTTATGTACTGTCTGTGGCTGCTTTCAGCTGCAATGGTAGAACTGAGCAACTGTAACAGAGACCATAGAGCCTAAAAAATTTACTGTTTGGCCAACACCAAATACAGAAAAAATTGCCAACATCTCAGCTAAGCTGTAGTGTCTTTCATATCCATCTCCTGCATCCCATCTCAGTAGCCATTATCCTGGTCCAGTCCAGGTCCATTGCAAAAGCCTCTCACGTATTCATATCAGTAGTTTTCCCCATCTCATTCTGTGTTTGTAAGTGTTGCCTGATCCTCCTGAAATACACATTATTAAATCTTCAGTGATGTCCCAATACTTATAGAAGAATCTATCTTCTTTGGCACAAGGCCTTTCTGGGGCCACTATTCAATCTTATCTTTCTAGGCTTGTCTCCTCCCACTTCCTTGATATACTCTGTACTTAGGATAGGG